ATGAAAAAGCGCTCGTGAAATTATTGGAAGATGGATGGTATTTAAAAAGCTTTCAGAAGTGATAATTATGTGAAAAAGGACGTAAAATCTTATGATGCTAACGGTTTTCGAATGGGATGTCAAATGTGCACATTCCGGCCTTATTTTTGCTAAAACGTTGAAAGTAATTTTATACATAACAAAAGCGCTCGTGAAGTTATTGGAAGATGAAAGATATTTATTAAATTTTCAGAAGTGATAATTATGTGAAAATGTACGCAAAATCTCATGATGCCAACGGTTTTCTAATCCGATGTCAAATTTGCACAATCCGGCATTATCCTGGATAAAACGTATTAAATAATTTAAACATGAAAAAGCGCTCGTGAAATTATTGGAAGATGGATGGTATTTAAAAAGCTTTCAGAAGTGATAATTATGTGAAAAAGTACGTAAAATCTTATGATGCTAACGGTTTTCGAATAGGATGTCAAATGTGCACATTTCGGCCTTATTTTTGCTAAATCGTTGAAAGTAATTTTATACATAACAAAAGCGCTCGTGAAGTTATTGGAAGATGAAAGATATTTATTAAATTTTCAGAAGTGATAATTATGTGAAAATGTACGCAAAATCTCATGATGCCAACGGTTTTCTAATCCGATGTCAAATTTGCACAATCCGGCATTATCCTGGATAAAACGTATTAAATAATTTAAACATGAAAAAGCGCTCGTGAAATTATTGGAAGATGGATGGTATTTAAAAAGCTTTCAGAAGTGATAATTATGTGAAAAAGTACGTAAAATCTTATGATGCTAACGGTTTTCGAATAGGATGTCAAATGTGCACATTTCGGCCTTATTTTTGCTAAATCGTTGAAAGTAATTTTATACATAACAAAAGCGCTCGTGAAGTTATTGGAAGATGAAAGATATTTATTAAATTTTCAGAAGTGATAATTATGTGAAAATGTACGCAAAATCTCATGATGCCAACGGTTTTCTAATCCGATGTCAAATTTGCACAATCCGACATTATCCTGGATAAAACGTATTAAATAATTTGAACATGAAAAAGCGCTCGTGAAATTATTGGAAGATGGATGGTATTTAAAAAGCTTTCAGAAGTGATAATTATGTGAAAAAGGACGTAAAATCTTATGATGCTAACGGTTTTCGAATGGGATGTCAAATGTGCACATTGCGGCCTTATTTTTGCTAAAACGTTGAAAGTAATTTTATACATAACAAAAGCGCTCGTGAAGTTATTGGAAGATGAAAGATATTTATTAAATTTTCAGAAGTGATAATTATGTGAAAATGTACGCAAAATCTCATGATGCCAACGGTTTTCTAATCCGATGTCAAATTTGCACAATCCGGCATTATCCTGGATAAAACGTATTAAATAATTTGAACATGAAAAAGCGCTCGTGAAATTATTGGAAGATGGATGGTATTTAAAAAGCTTTCAGAAGTGATAATTATGTGAAAAAGGACGTAAAATCTTATGATGCTAACGGTTTTCGAATGGGATGTCAAATGTGCACATTCCGGCCTTATTTTTGCTAAAACGTTGAAAGTAATTTTATACATAACAAAAGCGCTCGTGAAGTTATTGGAAGATGAAAGATATTTATTAAATTTTCAGAAGTGATAATTATGTGAAAATGTACGCAAAATCTCATGATGCCAACGGTTTTCTAATCCGATGTCAAATTTGCACAATCCGGCATTATCCTGGATAAAACGTATTAAATAATTTAAACATGAAAAAGCGCTCGTGAAATTATTGGAAGATGGATGGTATTTAAAAAGCTTTCAGAAGTGATAATTATGTGAAAAAGGACGTAAAATCTTATGATGCTAACGGTTTTCGAATGGGATATCAAATGTGCACATTCCGGCCTTATTTTTGCTAAAACGTTGAAAGTAATTTTATACTTTCAGATGTGATAACAAGGTACTCTTTTGTAAAAGAATCCGGACTATAAGAGGTCTTAGGCAGTACTCGATAATCCAACAAATTCGATACTTCGAGACTGCCTTGCAAAACGTTTGTCGGATTTCCGGGGGTCCACTATATAATAAAAAAATATGTACAATTACTAGAATCCATGTCAAAGGCGAATGGTCTACGTTGTTCATCACAATAATAATTTACTTACCCTCAACTGGCTTTCATTTTTAAAATTATATCTCAAGAAGAAGAATGAAATTTTAAACTGTAATCTGAAAGTCTACAAATCAAAACCCTAAGTTCTTTTAGAATATTTGGCAATAGTGTTTTGTAAATTCAGTGAATCTCATAAAACATAATAACTATTTAATAAATATAATAACGTTAATTGCAAAATTTAATAGTTATAGGTATGTTGGTTATTAAATGTCATGAGATCTTCATTATCGATCGTAAGATAAATTACATCTAATTTGTTTTAATGTGTGAATAAAAGATCGTTAACCGGCCTGTTTTACATTGCTGAAAAAACACAATTTATGTGATATAAGTTGGGAGTATTTAGCATATTTTAACTAACTAACCAACCAACTGTAAATACGCTAGTTTGTAGTATGTTCATAGCTCATAAGGAAATCCTGTTCATGTGAAATTGTGGCCCGTATATTAGATCATTATAGTTTTTTCCACCACTTACTTTTATTGTTGGTTTGTTTCAAATAATCTTTATTGTTCTGCATAACTGTTCTATTATTTCATTAAAATCAAGATGTAATTGATATTTTTTAAAATGTGAAAAACTAAGAAATCGGAACGTTGCTATCAGTAATATATAATTAAACATATATTAGTGTTGCTTCAAATAAAGTTTTTTTATAACTTCAACTAGGTTAAATTTCGCTCCCATGTTTAGAATTTACGTTTTACCTATTTGTGTATGAATTTCTTAAGAAGTTTCAATTTCGATATCTCTTTTTGTTTAGAAATAAGAAGCGTTTGATAGATAGACAAACAGACAGTAGTGTTGCCACAAAAGTAATAAATTATTAAATTTAATAACCACTCAGCCCTACTGTTCACTTTATTACGTTAACATTTTTCACTATAGAGTGTTTATTGCATTTATATCAATGAAATGAAGTTTAAAAAAATTAAATCCTAACTAAAATAACAACCGCAAAATCGACAAGTACAAATAATTTATTTCACACTGCAATAATTACTGTTTTTATTCTCTAATACAATGTATCATTTAATATTGAAATGAGTTGAATCTGGTTGTACAACGATCGTTCCAAGTGTTCTTTAACTCGATCCACAAAATTATTTCTCAAACGCTGCATACGTAGGATGCGTCTTCAAAGAAAAATAAATAAAAAATTGACGTTGGATTGGGTATTAATCTTAAAACTACAAATACAGGTATCTACCTTTTTTATTTTATTAATGAAAATATATACAAAGTGTTTTCTTATCAGCGAAATATAATCTCAAAGTTCATTCTATTTAACACAAGTTTCAATTCAGAAAATTAAAAAAAAACAAGTAACTTCTCCAACTAAATTTTAATTCAAAAGCAGAAAACTATGAAAATAATAAATCATTAAGAGACAATATTATGTTACATACTTGTAAAAAAGTACGTGCTGCTTCATAACAAAATAACAAGTTTAATACGAAAAAAATATAAATTACAGCATATTATTTATATTAACGTAGCTGTTTCATAAAGTTCTTGGCAGGTACCAGCAAATTCGAAATAAGCGATTTTACTTTCTAATAACAGAATAACTCAAATAAATCATCAAATTCGACGCACAAATTAAATAAATAATTTGTTGATACGTTCTTCCTGTTTAGAACATGATAGCTTAATTTGCAAGTGAAAACTGCGAAAGATATTGTATCTCAAACTAATGAAAATAAATGAATAATCTACAACTAAAATAATATAACGTCAAATAGCGACATCACCAAAAACTAATTATTTTAATACTTGGAAGGAATTTGAAGAATTTTTTTTATATAAAATTAAAAAGGAAATAAAAACTTAAAAATGAAATTTTTATGCTGGATAACAAAACAAAATTTTCATGCCCTTCCCTTTTACTATTCATCCATACATACAAAGATTTTCTTTTACGAGCCATGGTTTTTGATCAAATGTGGTGTATATTTTGCTTCACTATAGAGGTAACCAGTAAGAAGTTGACACTGTACTTTTCATTTATGAAAGAATGCCGATATTGGCTAAATAAAAGTAAACTGTAAACTTAGTGAAAAGAAGTAAAACGTGTATACATATATTAAATACAACGAAATCAAAAATACATTGCTCTGATCAGAGTGGGTTGGTTAAAAATTCCTAAGTTCCTATTTTTGATTTAATTTATATTTCAATGTCTAAATAATATACTAACATCATTAAACATGAAAAAAGAAACATTTTTATTCAGATTCTATCAAGTAAATTTTTATGTAATAAGCATGCAATTGGAAATGATTTCAAAACTAAACTAAAAACCAGAAAAATATATTGACGAGAAACAACAAACAAAATATATAAGGTAAAAGGTAAATTTGGTATTTAACATAACGAATAAGTTAGGAGAACATTACGTTTACTTCCTATCTATTGGGACACCCACGAACCCAGTGACCTCTGTCGCCACAACGGAAACAGTACCCATACCCACCGTAATAACCGCCTGGTAGTCCGTTATATGGTACATACCCGTTATCACTATCATCGTCGTAGTAACTCATAGTTTCAGCATCAGAATCGTATGAATTCATATCACTGTCAGAACTCAAAATGATGGCATCATGGGCGAATGCTTCGTCGAAAACATCTGTAGCAGATTTTTCTTTACCTCTATAATCTTTCGATCCTGATGCCTGTTGGGATTCCCTGTCAGCTATTAGTTTAGATCTTTGAAGTTTTGTTTCTTCGTCAGCATTTTCTAGGATCTATAAATTACAAAATACACATAAAACATATAAACAGCTAATAGACATATGGACATAAAAAGCAAAGAACATATGCACATTTATATAAATACAAACCTTTTCAATAAAGCTGTCAATCACCAATGTGGGAAGAATACTACATATTGGTGCTCGGCAGATTGGACAAGCAGTCTTTTTCTTTTTCCACTCATCAATGCAAAATTTGCAGAATGTATGAGAGCAGGATAATGTTACGGCTTTTATGAACATTTCTGTACATATGATACATTGTAGTTCATCTTGTACTGCATGTAATTTGGTCTCAGATGATTTAGAACACCCAGGTTTTGGTTCTGTGTCCTCTTTTGTAATCTTCTCCTTTATGTCGTTAACATTTTTCAATTCATCTTTAGCCTGAGGCAAATCTTTTGGAATATTCTCCTTTATTCCTTCAGCATTTCTAGATTCAACTTTAGCCTGAGGAAAATCTTTTGAGCAACTGGGTTGATCATTTGCCTCTGTACTCTTTTTCTTTGAGCCCTTTTTAGTATTCGAGTAGGTTTTTGGGGGAGATGTGATTGATGATTTTAATCTAGCACTTTTTGGACTCTTAGTTATAGAGCATTTAGACTTTTGAGACTGTTGATTTACTTTCTGTGATACCACTCCGATAAGCCAGGATGGTATAGCAGTCGATGTTGTTGCAGTTGCACCTGGTAGGGTATTTTGAGCAAAACTTGGTTGAGATATAGATGGCAGAGTAATACTTTTTTTGTTAACATTACTATTAATCACAAAAGAACTAAAAAACCCTTTGTAACTAGTTGGATTAATGGAAATTAGTGTTGTTTTTGGCACATCAGAAGTTGATGTCATATTTACTTTATGTTCTATGCAATGTGGAAGTTGGGACTTATGGTTAGATTCATTAACAGTGCCAGATTTGACCGAAGAATTATTTTCGTTTGTGATATGCTTATCAATGTTTGAATTACCTTCTACGTCCATAGGAATGTTAAATTCATCTTCTAAGCTTGGGGATAATCGTAAATTCGGCTGTTCAACTTTTGTTAATGTAGCATCTGTAATATTGATAATTTCTTCTTCAGATAAAGAGCTTTTATTGCTTTCAGTAACTGGTTCAGGTGCACTGTTTCTTTTGATAAATTGAAATTGTGTATTGCTTCCAAGTGTGACGACATCGCCGTTTTGAAGTACATGAGCTTTTAATCTACCCACGAGAATTCCATTTACCAACGTGCCATTTGAACTCTGAAAAATACTTTGTCAATCATTCTGTTCTTTCTACGTTTTATTATTAACATTTACTCTGTCAATAACAATCCATTCTTTTCCACTTTTCTCTATTGTACAATGATTTCTCGAAATTGAGACATCGTCAAAAACGCAATCATTTTGAAGACCACGTCCTAAACCATACTATAATTTGAAATAATTTAGAATGAAAAATTAATTAGGCAATTAAAATTACATATGCAATTGTAACTTCAAAACGTAATGTTGACTCACCTTCTCATTAGACAGAACTATTGGCGTACTAAACGCTTTACTGGTACCATAATTGGTTAATATTGCCTTCTCCATGTTTTTTACAATATGATAAATTTTAAAAAATCACAGAATAGACAATAGTTCGATATGACCATTCAGAAAAACAAGACGTTAGACTTTTGAAAACCAAATAACTGATAAGTTAGCAACAGATAGTAATGCACAGGAGGTGTCTAAGCACACTAGAAACCATCTAGAGATAGTGATTACAAAGTGGCGGTCTTACAAATTCTGTTATAAATTTTTTAGAAATTTTCTTGACTACCTTCTTGCAAATAGACCCAAGTCTTCTCTTCCATCAGCTCCAGACTCGCAAACGGATTAGATGTCTGATTCCTCATCAGTTAGCACAGAGAATCTCAAACATATTTTGTCTACTTTTCACTTTGAGAGTCAATTACTTTTTAGCGCTCCCCGCAGTTACTTTAATTTAAGTATACCTAGTTTCCCATATGAATCTTTTCGTTTTTCTGAGTTAAAACTTACAATAAAAGCAATAAAATGCAACTCCAATTATAATATTTAAAATTTTATTTATTGTGAAAAATGAGTCTGGTGGTTTTTAGCAAGTTAATATCAGGCCTGAATTTATTCAAATACAGCTTTAAATCACCGCAAACCTCTTGACAGCAAACGTACTTCCACGTGAAAATAGCAGTTGGTTGAAACCTTTATCATTAGCTACACAAACCTGATTAAATAATCTGTCATTTAAAGAGTTGTTCCGGATTTCTCGCAACCAAATTTTGACGTTAAATAACGTAATATATAGCAAGCTCATTTGAAACTTTTAAACATGCTATAAAGACTTTGTCTCGCCTTCCATGGCCTGAGCGCCATCCGTAGCCGCTGATAAAATGTTCTTCAATGGTATCTTTTCCATAGTTTCACTTTTCGCATTTTCTCTTTTTGCATCAGTCTTTAAATTCTTGCAAATAATAGTTCTTGAGACATTTTTCATTTTGGATGGACGTTGACAAAGTGGATCATTGCCAACCCCCCGACAACAGAACCATACAACACGATTAAGGAAGTGCTTATTCGGTGACTTGATGTTTCAAAAGGAGCACGCCCCAAGACTGTTCGAGAAGAAAGAAATTAGCGATCGCAAACCCTCTCAGTCCCAGCGCTATCTTCGCAGGTCAGGCGGTGCTTCTACCATCGATGGCCTTCTACAAACCGTATGGCTTGACCCTTTTCTCACCCCACGTCCAATTGATCCTTGCCACAATGAGAGACAAGGACCGGAACAGTGGTGTAGCGTGATGGACTAGGTTCACGGACGTACTATAGCCTTTGTCAGTAATGGTTTTACAATATAAAACCTGGTAGAAATGGTCCACTTCTTCATAATAGATTTCAACGACACGAAACATCGGAAATCAATGTCTTCGCGATCCCGAAAATGCCGCTCAAACAGTAGAAAGGAGATTTAAGATTAAACTTCTCAAAATAGCCCCTCCATGTTCAGTGCAGTAGGAAAACCCGGACAGCAGATCACTAGAGATTTATGATTCCGGAAGTCAACAAACTAATTATTGACACCGACTTCTTGGCATACTATCAATTGCTGATACATTTGAGCAACCAACGTCTCCTGGATTAGTTCACCCAGCTCACCACCCCTGGTAAGGTGACCTTTGTAGTCGAGCTTCCATTACAATTATCACAGATAACAAATCTGCCACATCCAGGCATTACATAAATACTATCCACGGTCCCCCGGATGCACGACGATTAACTCGGGACACTGGTATACATGCAATCTGTTTTTAGAGTTTTTAGAGTTAAGCCAACATTTATAGTCATCAGAGGGACAACATCCACAAACCACTCTTGTGCTTGTAACCATCAACAATGACACCTCATAATCAACAAAAACAACTCGCTCAAGACGTACACCGAAATACTTTAGAGCAGGATGATCAATATCGTTAATCACTAGGGAGGAGACCCTTTAGGTACAATTAGTATACTGTATGCACGAGGAAGTTCAGCATAATTACGTTCGATGTCCTTCAACCACTCTAGGTCATTGTAGCATGATAGCCAAATACTAATCGTGCATTTCACATATATAAATATAAGAATAATAAATATTTTATTAATACTATGTAAATAATTCAATCATCTCACAAATAAACTTCAGTTTTCTCTTTCATCAACTCCATCAGTTTCGGAAGCAGACTAAATGTCTGATCTCTCATTAGTAAGTGCAACATAGGCTACAATTTCTTATCACAGATCTCTACTTCAAAAAGAAAAAATGCAACCCTTGTGGGGTTACTTTTTCTTTTGCATAACTGTCCAAAACTGGGGGATTTGGCACTCAAAGGGGTTATTGAGGGAAAAGAACTAGACTTACTACGGCGTTGAAGCTCCTCCACTACTACAAACATCTGCAAAATCAAACAGAGTTGCATAAGAAGAGATTCTTTGAACTTCCTAAAGCAGGGACAATGAGTTAAATCCTTGAAATACTTCATGGCTGTATCACCACCCGTTATTTTTCTTATTAAAAGCACTAGATTAGTCTTCTTTATCATATATCTGCCCCGAAAGTTTTTCCTGATCTTAGACATACGCTGCGCGAAAATTGCCGCCCAAACTAAGGCAAGGATGGGAACCACTTGGAGAATGATAAAATAATTTCTTAATGAGAAATTAAAGCGAATTTTATATCCGGTAGGGAATGTTGGTCTTTGATATAAGGAAAAAATATCATACTTTCGATGGGATAATGGTAAAATGGCACCAAAGGAGGAAAATACGTTCCTCTTAGCCGAATTCCCTAATAAAGTCAGAAAACAGTGTCGTACTTTCAGTATAAGGGTATGGTGAAAAGTTTTTTTATTAAATCAGGAAAAATCGTGCTTCCGAGTCAGGGATACGGTACCTTCATGGATGTCCAGAAGAAAGTATATATACTCCCGGAGTATAAACGTCTTCATATTGCTTGCGTATATGCATCCAGTCGTACACTGGCGGTCTGAGCTCTACATACACTCCAGAATTGTAATTCGCCTTTCACCAGAAATGCTTAGTTCGTACAAGAACTGATTGAGTTCGTGGCTTGTCGTTTCCTTTTCTGACCCACATTCAAAATTGTGAACGTACGAAGTTGTGTTGTTACTTTATTGTTAGCTCGCTCGGTTGATGTACAATAAACAACGCTATAACACTCGTCTTTTCCGATTATGACAATGAAGCGACCAGTATGGTATTTGGATGTTACAAAACGTTTTCCCAATACCGATGTTTGATCGAAACTAAATTTAGATGAAGAAAAAGCGGTACCAGTGCGCGAGGGAAATTTACTTTCCCTTACGTTCCGAAAAATCTTTGTACTCGCGATTCAGTGTATTTACATTAATTTCGTTTATTCTGTAAGGACAAATGAACTTGAATAACAATAATCTCTTCCTTATTAATTTTTTTGAGATTTAAGATGTGAGTTGTGCGAATAAAAGCGCACACGTGAGTTATAGCAAAAAAGTGTTAAAATGTGTTACATTAATTAATTGCAAAGTTTGTTATAAATAGTGTGTAAAAAGTTGAAATACATTAACTGTGGATCTAGTCACATGGATAGTATTCAGATGTATTAGCTTAAAAGGTAAATTTTAATTGCTTTAAAAGAATTTTATTTGATATTCATCGGTTTGATGCGTTCCCTAAATATTTTGAAGTAAAGCACTTCACAAAAAAATTCTGACAATTATTTTGGTAACTTTATAATGGGTAACAAATGTAACTTCTTTTTAGCAGAATAGTTAAATTAGACTAATTTACAATTTCAAAATTCATAATTTGGGTCTACTTTTAATAGATATGGAACATCGAAATCTAGTTGGTCTTTCAATTAAAAATTATTACCGCTTCAAACATTCTTGTTTATTTGATGGATGAAGCAGATTAAAATGATTTAGTCAAAACCCCTCCAGCTGTAACTTGAATAAGATTTTGATCAATCTAGTGATAAACCGCAGATTAAAAGAGATACAACATGTAATAATATGGTTAAATAAAGTTTTGACAATTCTTTTAACAGGCTTTAAATAGTCATAAATCGGTTTGAATAAAAGCTTTGAGACTTCGTAACATATGTAACAAACAACAACTATTTCTGTTTTTTCTCGAGCTGAAGTTGTACCCATCCCTCAGCTTAAAACCAATTTAATGGACAAGCAAACAAAATTTAAAAGTTGTGAATTTTGTCTAGAACTGCTTCTCAAATAGACATTCACGTAACTATAGGTATTAGGAGTTGTGCAAAATGGTAAATGCGAATACTATTTCAAATGTAAAATACAAAAAAGGTTTTCCCTTTTGCATTTTAAATACTAAACAGAAAATACGCATTTTTAATATACTTTTTTTAAATAGGTAAATACTTTTCCGTAGCATTCAACTTTCTTTATCTATTTAAGATTTTTTAAGAAATTGCTAAAGGCATTGAATAGGATTTATTTCTTTCCTTTCCTTTTTATGTTTGATGTGATTAAGGCATAGTCTTTATATTTTTATGTTGTAGCATTCTCAGTTCAGCAACAAACAATTCCTGTATATGCTCTCTTATTTACCTTTACCTTTATAGTTTCTTTAGCATAAAAGATCACCAACATCAATCTTTTTATATAGAAAAAGATTTCAGAACCCCATTTTGGTTTTGATCTTTGAAATGGAATCCATAATTTCTATGATTTATGTTTACCGATTAAGTAAAGTTTTTAAAATAGGTTTATAAGACTTTTTGAATGTTTTTATAAGAACAATATCTTGCAGTTTTCAGACATTCATTGCCGGCATGCATCGATTCGATATTGTTTTCGGGATTATTTTGCTGTGGTCCATTGGGACTTCAAAATTCCATGGACCAGCCCGAAAAACAATATCGAATCCACAGTATCTTGTGTTATCCATTTTCAAGTTCAGAATTTTTTGAACTCTCTTTAGTTCAAGAATTTTAGAAGACATCCACAGAATGCCTCTTTGTCTTTCTTGAAGCTTCTAATACCTTCAATGGCCAATGCCAGTTACTATCATTCATTTTATACGACGCTCAATCGGCGACAATAGCGAAATTTTTTATTTAACGGCCAAAATGGGTAATTTTATGGACGTGTGGAATATATTTCTTCAACCACGTCTATTTGAAAATGCTCTGAAAACTGTCTTAAACTAAACGAACTGTGAAAATCATTTGAGCAAAACGTACCTAACACTTTTCAAAAGTTTTAATTGCAATTATTGAAGTTATACTACTTTAGTCTTTATGTAAATAAATGACTGAAGATGTTTGTATGATTGAATATAATAATATCCTTATGTTCAGCTCTTAACTCATCATCATTAGTGTATATCATTTTAAATGATGTTCAAACGTACTTCGAAGCTTATCTCGTGTAGATATCATTAACGAAGGAGAACGCTCGGTATGTACAAAAGATATTATACACTTGTGCCAACGTTTTTCCTAATCCTCGAAGCACGTCAAAAAATCATTTCTTGTGATCTTGTTCAGCTCCTCCTTCGTCTTTATCTCCTCAATCATGGGCATCTTCAGTTTCAGGAACAAAAAAGTCGCAGGGACCAGATTTAGGGAATACAGTGACTGCGGAATTGTTAGTGTGTTGGTTTTGGTCAAAAAATATCATGGTGCAAAAGCCAATTTTTGTTCTTCCACAAATCCGGGCGTTTCTGGCAGATTGCTTCGCGCAAATTTCGCATAACTTGCAGGTAATATTCCTTATTGACCGTTCAACCTTGTGGCAAGAACTCATAATGCACCAAGCTCCTACAATCGAAGAAAACTGTATGCAAAACCTTCATATTCGGCTTAACGCGCTTTTTCTGTCTTGGCTTGTGCGACAGCTTCCATTGGTATAATTAAGCTTTGATTTTCACGTCATAACCATAATCCCTTGATTCATAACTAGTTATGACCACTCTGCAGCAAATTTGGGCAGTCGGGAACAGTCAACATCTCTTTAGCAATGTTAACGCGATACTGTTTTTGATCGTAATTGAGTAATTTTGGTACGAATTTCGCGGCAATCCGTCTCATGACCAAATCGTTGGTAAAAATCGAATGGCACGAGCCAATGGATATGTTTAGGTCCTCAGCAACCTCTCTAACGATAATTCGACGATTGGCCAATACTATATTCTTCACTTCATCAATGTTTTCGTCAGGTAGCTTCATCATATGCCACAGTCAACATTCGGTTCCATTTTTTGGAATAGGCAAAAATCGAAGATGAGCACGTGTGCGTGCAAGGAAAGCAGCTGTCAACAATTAACTGAACATTCCACAAGACCGAACTTGTCATGAGTACTAACATAAGACTATAAAAAAATCGAAAATAGAATATACGCAACCCGCGGAAATTCATAATTCGCGACACTTTTAGAACCTACTTCGTATATAGGTATATGTGACATAGTGTTTTTTTGATAGAGGCAGTTAAAGTTTTATAACAATTCATATCGATTACATATTTATGAATTTCACAAATTGTAAATGTTCTCGTTAAAAATTAGCTATGCATGTGAGTGACCTATTGTATCTCTTTGTTTGCATAATTTATTGTAAACGGTAATTGCAAAAATTTCTAGTAATTTAATATATTTAATTTTGTAATTGCTGTTTGTTTCAATTATCTGAACAAATTGCAATAATACACTAACATCATTAAACATGAAAAAAGAAACATTTTTATTCAGATTCTATCAAGTAAATTTTTATGTAATAAGCATGCAATTGGAAATGATTTCAAAACTAAACTAAAAACCAGAAAAATATATTGACGAGAAACAACAAACAAAATATATAAGGTAAAAGGTAAATTTGGTATTTAACATAACGAATAAGTTAGGAGAACATTACGTTTACTTCCTATCTATTGGGACACCCACGAACCCAGTGACCTCTGTCGCCACAACGGAAACAGTACCCATACCCACCGTAATAACCGCCTGGTAGTCCGTTATATGGTACATACCCGTTATCACTATCATCGTCGTAGTAACTCATAGTTTCAGCATCAGAATCGTATGAATTCATATCACTGTCAGAACTCAAAATGATGGCATCATGGGCGAATGCTTCGTCGAAAACATCTGTAGCAGATTTTTCTTTACCTCTATAATCTTTCGATCCTGATGCCTGTTGGGATTCCCTGTCAGCTATTAGTTTAGATCTTTGAAGTTTTGTTTCTTCGTCAGCATTTTCTAGGATCTATAAATTACAAAATACACATAAAACATATAAACAGCTAATAGACATATGGACATAAAAAGCAAAGAACATATGCACATTTATATAAATACAAACCTTTTCAATAAAGCTGTCAATCACCAATGTGGGAAGAATACTACATATTGGTGCTCGGCAGATTGGACAAGCAGTCTTTTTCTTTTTCCACTCATCAATGCAAAATTTGCAGAATGTATGAGAGCAGGATAATGTTACGGCTTTTATGAACATTTCTGTACATATGATACATTGTAGTTCATCTTGTACTGCATGTAATTTGGTCTCAGATGATTTAGAACACCCAGGTTTTGGTTCTGTGTCCTCTTTTGTAATCTTCTCCTTTATGTCGTTAACATTTTTCAATTCATCTTTAGCCTGAGGCAAATCTTTTGGAATATTCTCCTTTATTCCTTCAGCATTTCTAGATTCAACTTTAGCCTGAGGAAAATCTTTTGAGCAACTGGGTTGATCATTTGCCTCTGTACTCTTTTTCTTTGAGCCCTTTTTAGTATTCGAGTAGGTTTTTGGGGGAGATGTGATTGATGATTTTAATCTAGCACTTTTTGGACTCTTAGTTATAGAGCATTTAGACTTTTGAGACTGTTGATTTACTTTCTGTGATACCACTCCGATAAGCCAGGATGGTATAGCAGTCGATGTTGTTGCAGTTGCACCTGGTAGGGTATTTTGAGCAAAACTTGGTTGAGATATAGATGGCAGAGTAATACTTTTTTTGTTAACATTACTATTAATCACAAAAGAACTAAAAAACCNATGAGGGAAAAATTGTTGCTGTTGTCACACCCCCGCCGGGAATCGAACCCGGGACCTTCGGCTTTACGCACCAATGTTTTGACTACTAAACTACGAGAGGCCATTATTAATAATGCATATTAAACCACTATTAAGTAACCAACAATGTCATAGAATTTCATATATTTAATATATATATATATATATATATAATTCAGTTAATAAAAATCGACGGATCGTTAACCTTGTAGGTCGGTTGGTCGTGATTGTTGTTGTCATCTCTCGTAGTTTAGTGGTAGAATATTGGTGCGTAAAGCCAAAGGTCCCGGGTTCGATTCCCGGCGGGGGTATGACAACAGCAACAATTTTTCCTCATTAATTTGAGGTAGTTTGTAGTGGGTAAATAAAAAATCGAAAAAATGATTTCAAATTTATATAGCATATGTGCTGTTGCGATTACACTATAGAGGGTAGAGGTAACGAGTACTATCTCTGTTGTGAAAAAGAGTCCATCAAACTGCGTTAAATTAGGGTTGCACCACAGTAGCAACAGGGTAAATTTCAAATAAAGCACCAAAAGTTGTTAGAATAGGATATGAAATAAACAAAGACAAAATTACTTTAAAGTATTCTTAATTTTCTGCTTTTTCCAATCCATATGATAAAAAGGAGTAGGTGTCTGTCATTGTGTTTATATTAAAATATGATAATGCAAATAATATATTTTTGCCAATATACAAAACAAAGTGTGTTTTATTTCTAAAGCAAAGAACAAATACAATTGTTTCAATGCAGCTGTTTTCGTTATTGTCTATGACTACATTGTTTCAATAAAATAGGTATTATAATTGTCTGTTAAACATGGTTACCTCATTTTTTTTTCTTTTCAACTCGTCGTAGGAATTAGTCCTGTTGAAAAGTTTTTTCACGGCTAATTTAAAACTGACACAATAAGAGTTATACAGGCCTGACGCTGGAAGCTGGCGCAAATTTTAAAATGGCATGGATGCGCGGTGGCAAAAGTAGGCAGTTTTAGGTATAAAGATTGCAGCCCTCATTCTTCAGTATTTCTATCAAGGGCGTAGATTAAATATTTAAAAATAGGAATCAGTTAGCAAGTAATAGACAGACAAACAGAAGAACTAATTGTTGATGTTGGTGACAGTGATAGAGATTCCCATGATGACAGTGAATGTGAAAACTAACTATAAAACAAAAGCAATAGGTTAATTTTTTCTTTTTGATAAGTCATGTTTTTACATTATTTTCTAGTACGCTACTGTCCTATCT